TTATATTTTTAACACATTAGTGGAATCCTATTTTAAAAACATGAAAAAACGTGAAAACGTGATGAATAACATGAACGGTAAAAAATAACAGAATCAAGTTTTCAAAACGTGAAAACATGAAAAAGCTTCATACCATTCAAACCCGTTCTTTTAAAAAAGAAAAATAGCTTAATAACTGAAAAATTGTTAGTAGGACAAATTAACTGAATAATTGTAAAACGCTGAAAATTACGGGTTTGACTGGTATGTCAACTTAATAGCTGAATAGCAGAATAGCTGAATAATAAACTAGCAGAATCAATAGGACAGATAAACTTTGAATAAATTCAAAATGCTAAAAAACTAGTATCTATTAGATAAATAGATTTTTCTCAAAACTAATTATAAATTTAAAAAGTGCAGGATAAATTAAAAAAATAGCTTGTTAAAATTCATATTTTATTATTCAGTGTTTAATATTGTGAATGGTACGGGTTGAATGGTATGTAGCTTTCCCACGTTTTCGCGTTTTGAAACGTGATTCCACTAAATGCATATCATTCATAATATTAAGCACTGAATGATAAAAAGTGAAAATCAACATGCTATATTTCAATTCATCCTGCACGTTTTAAATTTATAACTAGTTTAGAAAAAAAATCTATTCATCTAATAGATACTAGCTTTTTAGCGTTTTGAATTTATTTAATTTTCAGTTTACACATCCTATTAATTATGCTATTTTATTATTTAGCTATTCTGCTATTCAGATATTAAATTGACATACCAGTCAAACCCTAGCTTTTTAGTATTTTGAGTTTATTTAGTTTTCAGTTTATCCATCATATTGATTCCGTTAGTTTATTATTCAGTTATTCTGCTATTCAGCTATTAAGTTGATATAGTGGACAAATTCTACGTTTTTTAAAACATGAAATTTTGAGAAAACTGTATACTATTCAACCCCAATACGTTATAAAATCTGCACAATGTGACTAGAATTGTGAAGTGCAATTTATCTAGATTTTCAATTTTGGGATAGAAGCTGAGACATCCAGAAGTGAAAGCAAAGTGGAAAGCATTCGCTTTGCAGTGAGTTGAAGTATCTAAACACAAACGAGCCAGAAGCAACACAAAGGAAAGTTTTCGATTATTTATAAACAATGTTTGATAAAGTACCAAAGAACAACAAAATCATCACCATGAACAACAAAGTACCAAAGAACAACATTCATGCAACCACTCCTTGAGAAAGCAAATATATTTGAAGCCAACATTAGATTAGAAACAACTCTCAGCTATATTACCTGAAGCTAAAAGTTAAATGAAAATTTTCAGACAAATCTTAGATAGATAAGAAAATCTATCATATTTATCACAAAATTATGTTTGTTGGCCTAACCGAAACGCTATAAAAAAATTCCAAATATACCATTTTCTAATTTGCACTCTTTCAATTTTGCCACTATTTCATAAAACACTAAAAAATACAAAAATAGCTCGTGACTAAAAAGGTCTATGTTTTGATCGAAGAACACACGCTTCTCTTCTCTTCCATTTCACCATCGCTGTCGTTGATCACTTCTTTCTCTTCCGATTACATTTCTCTTCTCTTCCGATTTCGTAGTTTTGCGAATCATGATCTTGTTCCCGACACAGAAGATCCCGATTTTGATCTCTCTATTAAGATTTTCTCTAAAAATTTTGCTTGTGTATTCTTATTTTAAGTTTTAGTTTGGCGATTAATTTAAAATTTTAATTTGAAAATATAGGTTGTTTGGTATTATCAAATATTTGATTGAGCGATAATCATAGATAATCATGTAGAAAAATAAAATTATCCTTAATTTTGGCGACTACTGTATTTTATATATATTGGACGGTCTCTTTGTGTTTTTGTCTTTCATATTCAACTTCCCAAAAATTTTATTACTTCCCCTGTTTCAAAATAAGCGTCACTTTGATATATTTCATACAAATCAAAAAAATTATTAAAATTTCTGTTTTACCATTTGTTCACACACAAAATAAAATTTTCTTTCTAGTTAATACACTAATATAACAAGGTTAAAACATGATTTTTCTTTAAAAATTTACATTGGAAATATAAAATAACACTTTGTGTGAAACAAAAATAGAATTCTAAAACGACACTTTTTTGAAATGGAGATAGTACTAATCTTCGAGCTTTTAACCAATATGTTGTGGTCATGTCTTACCTTAGAAGAAAACCTCTTACTTCTGTTTTTGATGCGATCCTGGAAAACATAATGAATTTAAATAAGGATAAAGAGCTTGTAGCCGAGAAGAAGTTGGGTACAATGGACAAGTTTGTAGCTGAAGAGGTTCTAAGTATATTAAGTAGCCCTATGATCCGATTTAAAGCTAAGGCATTCAAACAAGTTATTGGAATGTTACTTAACCGTATGTAGTATAGTCCAAAAGGAAGAGAAGCCAATCAAGCCAATACTGGTTTTAATTCAAGCTCAAGACCAAAGTATGGAGTATACAGTTAGATAGTTGTATAAAACACTAATGCCGGAACAATCCCTGATTTTTCGCCTATTTTTAAAAAAAAATTCCTATGCCCAGAACAACCACCCGACACCTAGGGCAATCCCGAATAAGGTGGTATAATTATAAATAACTAGGTAATTATTCGCGCTATGCTGCAGGATATAATTCTGAATTTTATATATTTTTAATATAAATTTTTTTATAATATAATAAATATTATATTTATTTTGTATTTAACATATTTTTGTATTTATGCCTTGATTGTTTCTTTATCTAGATGGTTCATTTGAAAAAAAAATGAGAATTTTGTTAGTTTTGTAACAAAATTGAAAAACATTCAGATAAATTATTTGGATGATTTTTTAAAATTTAGACGAATTTATGAGAATTATCTAGAGACAAAATTATTTTGAATGATTTTTCAAAGTTTAAACAATTTTATGAACAAAATTAGACTATTTGGATGGAGAAGCTTCAGTCTTGAATAAAAATTATGACTAAAATATTATTAAACTTAAGAAAAAAAACAGAATAAAACTAAAACCCCCATAAAATCTTTTTTCGAAAATATTGAGAAAATCATAAATTAAGTTTTTCAACAAAACCACAAAATTATATATTTTTTTAACAAAACATGAAAATACCATTTTTCTCCCAAACTGGTAAAATCACGTTGTTCCGGTAAAATCGAGAAATTATGTTTTCCAACCAAAACGAAGAAATCGCATTTTTCCGTCAAAACCGAAAATCACGTTTTCTCGCTGAAATCATCAAATTGCATTTTTCCGTCAAAACCGAGAAACTGTATTTTTATGCAAAAACCGAGAAATTGTATTTTCCTGCCAAGACCGAGAATTATTATTTTTCTGTCAAAAATACAGAAATTGCATTATCCAGCCAAAACTAAAAAATATTGCATTTTCCTTCCCATATCGAGAAATGTCATTTTCTAGTCAAACCGATAAATTTTATTTTCCTCCCAAAACCGAAAAATTGCGTGTTCTCGACAAAATAGTCAAATTAAATATTTTTCGCCAAAATCATAAAACTATGTTTTCCACAAAAACCAAGAAATCACATTATCCATCAAAAACTGGGAAATTACATTTTCCCGCCAAAGCCGAGAAATTGCATTTTTCTAGCAAAACTAAGAAATTTTATTTTTTCATCATAACCGAGAAACGAAATCATCTAATTGTATTTTCCCGCCAAAACTTTGAAATTTCATTTTTCCTCCAAAATCGAGAAATTGCATTTTAGTGCCAAAATCGAGAAATTGCATTTTCTCGTCAAAAATTCCGTCAAACCGAAAAATTTTGGTTTCCTGCCAAAATCGTCAAATTGTATTTTTCCGCCAAAACCAAGACGTTATGTTACCCATAAAAACAGAGAAATCATATTATCCATCAGAAACCAAGAAATTGCATTTCTCATTAAAATCTAAAAATCGCATTTTCAAGTCAAAAACTAGAAACTTTGTTTTTTCATCATAACTGAGAAATTTCGTTTTCCCATCACAACCAAGAAATATTCTTTTCTCGCCAAATCAGAGAAATTGCATTTTCCCGTAAAACTGAGAAATTTTATTTTTTCCACCAAAACTGGAAAATCGTATTTTCTCGTCGAAACCGAGAATTCTTTTTCCCAAGAAAATTTATTTTCTCAACAAAACCAAAAAAAATTATTTTTCCGCAATACCAAAAAATTGCACTTTTCTGTAAAAACTAAGAAATTTTATTTTCGTGTCAAACATAATTACGAATATATGAAGTAATTTACTATTATTTATTTTTGTTACTAACATTTTTTATTTGTTTTCAATTTGTGTTTTTTTAAATGTTATATTTTTGTTTGTTTTTTGAATAATTTTATACTATTATAATTAGGCGTAACCAAGAAAGAATGCAATATGATTCTCATATAATTCATTAACTTAAATATGTTTATATTATTTTGGTTCAATTCAATAAATTTTAGACTAAAACTCAACTTTTTACCTTTTTGTGATTATATGCAAGGCATAAACCGTAAATACAAATTAATGTAAGTTTTTATAAACTAATCAAATCAAATTCAAGTATATTGCTAACATATAAACATGTTCTCTTCGCTCAAATGAACCAAGATGACCTTAAATTTTGACTGATCGTATATTTCAGGATGCTATCATCTGAACTCAATTCTTAGATTTAATTAGCTGCATCGGTTTGAAGCAAACAGAGTTTCTTCTCTACAATTCCACCTTTAATTTTTTGCCTTCTAACATAGTAACTTAATGATAAAAGATTATAAAATATGTTTGCTGAATAAATATTAAAAACCCAAAACTAAAAAATGAATATCTTGAAAAAATACACTTACTCTATTTTTGTACAGAATATTTTAAGATTGTACGCAAATTAAAAATCTGGCATAATAAATTTATAACCTAATTTATTATCAATTAATTTTTTATTTATTTATTAATATAAATATAAAAAAAAAAATATTTAGCATCAATTTTTTTATAAATTTCTGAAAACATATATAATTTAAAGCAAAAACCTTTAAAACATCATATAAAAAAACAAAGAGAGAATTTAATTGATGCTACTACTACAATAAACAGATCATACTTTAAATTGATAAGCAAAGAAATATAAAACGGATCAAATATGTACTTTAATTCTATAATAGTCAATAGCTTATATATTAATTAAAGCCTATCCTTTTCTACAGTTGTTGCTGAAGTTGGGAAACTTTCAATTATTATTTATGAGATTCATTTGCACAAGTTTGTTCTACATTTCTGAACTAAAAATCATTCATATTTGATTCTACAATTTGTTGTAAATTAAAGATCCAAAAGTTTTCACCAAAAAAAACTGAAGATAGTTTTCAAGATAGCATTATTTAAAGTGGATTTGTTTTTAGGAGCAGAAAACTCTAGTAAAGAGAAACCAATTCAGCACACACATGCGTGGTAGTAGTAAAAATACTTAATATATTCCAAAGTTTAAAAATTCTCTTCTTCACAAAACAGTGATACAAGATTTTTGAGTCTCTTTCTCAAGCACCCTTTATACTAATCAGTTGTAATATAGTATAGGGTTTTTATCAATCCAAAGGAGTTAAGATAGATGCCAATATGATTCTAGTAGAATGTTTTAAATCAAGCAGAATCAGAGAAAGAGTTGTTCAAACTTATAAACTAATCAACCTAAGTGAATCATAAACCAAGCAGAACTTAAGAAAGCAATACTAACCAATGATCCAATGCAAAACAGAGCAAACAAAACAGAGTCCTAGCAAATTCGAAATTCAATAATTAAAAGCAAGGATCCTAGATGCGGTTATTGACTTTGAGGAATTCAAAGGCAAGATAAGGCTGTTATCAAACTCAATGACAATGCAAACAAGCATGCAATGCTAATTCCTAGGCATAGAGTTCATAATCAAGCAAGTTAAATCCAATCTCTTGGCAAATAACACTTTGCTAAACATCCTAGCAAGAACTAACTCTCATTAGTGCTAGAATCAATGACAAGCAGGCTAAACCAACTCTATTCAAGCCAAAATACTCCTTAGATAGTCAATCTCTTGAGCTAAGATAAGTAAATCCTCTAAAAGGCATAATCAACATTTCATCAAACACTTAGAAAGCCTAAATCTAGATTCATGTGACCAAGACAAATCTAGCCTAATAACCACCTAATAGAGAGGAATCAATCATAATTAAGCACCGACAAACCCTAATCAAGCCTTAAATTCTCCTAATCTACCACATCTAAAACCCTAAAAGTGACTACTCACTCATCATCATGAAAAGCACCAAATCACAAGGGAAAAAGATGTTAAACATGACTAAGTGAGGGATTAGAGAAGATTAAATCAGGCAAATACAAAAACTTAGATTAAAAAGATGATCTTGTTCTTCCAAAGAGAGAAAAATACTTAAAAACTAAGCAAAAACTAAGAACTCCCCAAAAACCATTAGTTCAAGGGTATTTATACTAAATGCCAAAAATCTTAAAGGAATGGCAAACTTGTAAATAGAAGAAATTCGGACAAGGCCAACATCGAGCACATATGCTTGATGTGAGTCTTCGGGTGCTTGAGATGGAGCAGGTGGTACTCGATATGCTTGGTAGATGTTGAATGCTGAAGCTCCTACCCGTTTACATCGCTCGATGTTAGTACTCGATGTGGATGTCATGTGGCTTGACATCGAGCAGGCTTGCTCGATGTTGATACTTGATGTGGATTCCTAAAATGAGATCAGCCTCGTTCTTCAGCTGAAAAATAATGTTAATGTAGACCTCTGGTGGAGAAGAGCTGGTTACTTGACAAAATAAAAGTTTGGGTTGTGGCAAATTCCGTGTATTGTATCCATGAGCTCAAAGCCATCCATTTCCACATCATAGTTGCCATCATCGGGCTCAGCTGCAGCCGCAGTGAGATCATCCTGGATCTGCTTCTGAGCAGCATTGTCCATAAAAAAATCTGGTGGAATAAGAGGTGGTTGCACGACAAACTCAGAGCTTTGCCCCCTAAGACAAGTCAGCAATGTCTCATATTTAAAAATTTAATAAAAGCAAAAGTACCAAAACAGTAGTATACTAGTATTCATCAATTCGTTCTTACTTGGTGACTACTTTAGCAAAGTACAAAAACGGCTTGTCAAGATTGTAGTTGCACACAGCAGAAATCTCGTAGTACTGGAGATTATTTATCCTGTGGAATATCATGTCATTGGCATGTATTTGCCTGTTCTTCGAATCAACTTTGTTCCCACAAAGAACGATTTAGATGTCAGGACAGCCTCGGCGAATATTGTTGTACCAGACCTGAACACTCTCGTTTGTCTTCTTTGAGGTGACATCGAAAAAGATGATGGCACAATCTGCATTCATGCTAAAAGTAAAAGAAAAGGAAAATAAAAACACATTATGATAGAGCTTTCTACTCCTGTTGTCGAGGTAACAAATCAGTTGCCAATTCCACACCCTAACCAGAGCTATTCCAAACTATGCACACTCTAAATTAACTGTACACGTATAAACCCAACATCTTTAGAGATTACTTCAGTAACATAGAGAAACAAAATGGTCTACTTACTAGGTCACATCCTTCACAAATTCTCCAGAACAATCCCAGCAGTCAAAAGTTATGTTGCCAGTGTTTGTTGAGAAATCCAAACAATGGATCATAGCACACTCATCAACTGCAACACAGAAATAAGAACAAAATATCAGAATGGGAATAGGTTAGAGGAATAAAGAATAGAAATTGTAACTTGTAAGCAACTGTCACTATATACTTACCTTCCACAAGCTTCCCAGAGGAAAACATGTTGAGAAAAGCAGTTTTCCCTGCACAAAACCACCAAAGAGCACTCAGAAGCTTAGAAAGATAACCAAGAACATATCGAAAATATCCTACGACATGAACTGAACCACTTAGAACAGCAGTGAGCAATATTAAGAATCAATCGCAAAATCTGCTTAGTAAAATCTTAATTGCGTCTCTCAAAAGGGCATATCATCGGTTAGAAGATCAACTCTTCAGGAAGAATAGAAAACTGTGATAGGTCCATCAAAAATATGGCCAAGAGTACCTGTGCTTTTATCACCAACAACGATGAGCTTGATTCTACAATGATGGTCGGTTTGTTGATTAGGTAGAAGCTGAAGAAGAAACAACACAGAAAAAAAAACAAAGGCATCAACGGATCAGTGGTTCGTAAAATTCCTTAATCAATAAACATAATATAATCGAACGAGAGGAAGTAAGCGAAGAGAATTTTTACCAAAATCGAACGAGAGGTTTCAGATCTGCAAGGAAAGAGAAGGGGCATGTGTGATGTGTGAGTGGAGAGTGAAGAGAAGAGAAGCGGCTAGAGGGATTTGGGGGAGAAGAAGATAGGGTTTAAAAGAGCAATTAGGGCTCTGCCTCATTATTTTTTCTTTTCATTTGTTAAAAAAAATCTGTGAATATTATTAGGAAATAAAATATAATGTCGAGGATAGTCGTTATACACATGTTGGTATATATAAAGTGAAAGAGAAATTGAGAATCGTCAACTAGAAAATGTTTAACTAAAAAATATCTTCAGCTCTGTTTTATTGTCTTGGAACCCAAGTAACCTTTGTGTCTTTAAATTTACCTAAACCAATAAATCTCTCGGATTCAAATTGTCTGAGAACACATGGACTTGAAAAAGAGAGAAAAAACAAATTTTGTCTCGTGCTTATAGTCCAACACAACAACAAATCAAATCATGCGAATCCACAATTACAAAAGAAAAACAAAGACATAATCAATCATTGTGGTTCTTTGCCATAAGGATCACCAGATCCTTTGCTTGCTTCCTCGTACGTTCTCGAAGTAGTTGCTGAATCCATGTTAGGGTTTAACCCTGCAAGCTGCATTATGTTCTCAATCTCTTTCACAACCTCACCCATCGAGGGTCTCTTCACTCCTTCCTCCTCCACACATCTCAAAGAAAGATCAACATACTTCTCGAACCCGTTCAGATTTCCACTGCTTGCAATGATCGTTGTGTCCAATAATTCTTGTAGATCATACAAGTTTCTTGATTTATCCATCTTTGACTTTACTTCTCTCACCACATATTTTCCTCCCTGTATTGGACTTTTACCGGTTAATAGCTCAAGCATCACCACACCAAACCCATACACATCACTCTTCTCCGTCAATTGATTCGTCATGTAGTACTCAGGATCCAAGTAGCCCTATATCCAAACATAATGTGAGTTTAAACTATATTAAGAAGAAAGAAAAGAGGATCACTGATTCTCTACTTACCATAGTTCCTTTCACTTGTGTTGTCACATGAATTTTCTCAGGGTCTCCCACAAGCTTGGAAAGACCAAAGTCGGCAACTTTTGCAGTTAGACTTTCATCAAGTAGTATATTATTTGATTTTATGTCTCTATGTATAATTGGAGGATCAGCAAGCTCATGAAGATAAGCCAAGCCCTTGCCTGACCCAAGTGCTATTCTTAGTCTTCTCGTCCAATCTAGTACAATCCCACTCTTTCCTGTATTATCTCAAAATTACCATTCAAGAATTATTAGAATCCCTCAAATGGAAAAGAGAGATGTTTGATGTTACCTGATAGACTATCTGTAAGAGAGCCATTTGGAATGTACTCATATACAAGCATTTGTTCATTTCGATCAAAGCAGAAGCCTAAGAGTCTAACAACATTCTTATGATGGACCCTTGAAAGAAGCTCAATCTCAGTTTTAAACTCCAACTCCCCTTGTGAAGATCCTTGTTGGGCTCTTTTGATTGCTATGAGTTGCCCAGAGGGAAGAATGCCTTTGTACACCTGTTTTTCACCAAATTATTTCAGCTAATGCAATTGTTTATCTTAATAGAGGCCATTGCAAAGACACAAACCTGTCCATAACCTCCACCCCCAACATCATTCGCCTTTGAAAAATTATCGGTGCATTTCCTCAACTCTTCAAAGCTAAAGGCTTTTGCTCCCATTAGCTGCGGAGCATCGATACTACTCTTACTCTTATTCCACTTGGCTACAACACACACAAAAGAGCTCTCAGCGTTTTTAATTTATTAAATATAAAATTTATTCAAAAGAAAAAAACCGTTTTTGCAACAAATGAGTTTGATAAAAGGTAACACTACTACTTAAGTTGCTCTTGTGCAAAACAAAAACATGAGGCTCTGCCCTCATACTTCTTAATTCCCAACGCGCATCCAACTAATTTGACTTTTCCGCGTTTTCAGCATCACTTAAGAGAGGAGTCTTTAATTTTATATCCCAAAAAAAAATTACTTACTAGTAAAACCAAATCTTCTTACCAAAAGGATTATTTTGACCACTTGCTCTCTCTGCTCTCTTCTTCTGCCTAAGAGCGTAAATCCCAGCTACAGCTAAAAGCAGTAGAAGAACTGTAGAACCAACTGCTGCTCCAATTATTATAGCTGTGTTTGCTGATGTAGAACCTCCTACATATGTGGCAAGAAAGGCAGAACAAATGAGTTATACAGAAACCAGTTTTATATCCGGGTTGATTGAGTGTGTGACCAGTTTCATTGTACCAGAGAAAGGCCTGTATTGATCAGCTTTAAAAATGTAAGGCCCAAATATTTGAGGAGGGTCATAGGCATGTGTGCTAAACACGGAAATCACACTATTCATCCCCATCCCATCAAAAATCTCTTTGTCCAATGGAAATACTAGGAGATCTATTAGAAGCTGATGATCAGGTATAGTCTCTCTGATGTTTCTGATGGCCACAGAGTCCACTTGATAACTGAGGTTCTTGAAGAAATCTGCTATCCCTTGCTGGAGCATTATGAAGTTGGTGTTGTTAGAAAACCCAGAGAAGGAAGGTGACCTGAAAATGAGTATTCCTGTGACTGGATACACACAGCGGCACACTGGATTAGGTTCTTTGCCCTGACCACAGGTTGAACAATGTATTTGAGGGGCAGAAAAAGAAGTATTATATTTGTTTGCTCTGCAGTAGTCATTCTGTTGGTTCCCTGCTTCTTGGCACACTGGATTATCTGTCAGTCTGTGGAAACACCAATACACCTAAGTAGATTGAACAAGAGAAATTTTGATTTGTGACAGGATACATACATTACTTGGATGCGTTTACTAGTTGCTAGTTTATAAGTGCTTATTTCATTGTTTTGTAAATCCACAAACTCCAATTGGTTGCTATAGTTGGTACCAAAGTCTAATGTTGCATTTAACTGATTGCGCTTTAGGACACTGCAAGTCAATAGAAAACATCCAAATTAGTATAAATTTTTCCAACTTGACTATATTTCCCAATAAAATTCTTATAGTTTTTACTCACACAGTCTGCAATAGAATAGAGCTAAAAAGGGAGATTGGTATTGGCCCTTCGAGTTGGATCCCTTCCATCCTTCTACCAAACAGAAAACCATTTAATATTGGTAAGCATAATCAAGAACTTATGTATAAGGAGGGAGAGAGAGAGAGAGAAAGAAAGAAAGAGAGAGAGAGAGAGAGAGAGAGAGAGAGAGAGAGAGAGAGAGAGAGAGAGAGAGAGAGAGAGAGAGAGATTCTTACAATGTTGACAGGGAGCTTAATGAAGAAATCCATGATGGAATGGGTGAGAATGTCAATTGGTTATTGCTTACATCGCTGTTACAAAACAATCACTTCATAGAGTAAGATTGATTAATAAAGTTCTGAGTAGGGCAGTGATGGTAAATTGAGCAGCAAAGAGAAAGAGAAATATAGAATACTTACAGTGTGTAGAGACTGCTCAAGCTTGTTAAATTAGGAAGACTTCCATTAAATCTGTTGTTGGCCAAGTATCTGAAATGGATTCAACTACAAACTCTCTTACCTCTTTCCATTATATCTACAAACATAGAACAAAACTTTAGTTGCTCACTTACAATTCTTGAAGATTTGTGAGATTATTAAGACTTGCAGGAATATCTCCAGTTAGTTTATTTCTATCAAGGCGTCTGTAACAAAGAATAGAGCATATGAGATAAGTTTAGGATAAGCAAAAAAAAAATAAAAAATTAAAAAAATGTTTTACTACTTACAACACCGTCAGCGTTTTAACGAGGCTGATGCTGTCCGGGATTTTGCCCGTTAATTGGTTTCCATCGAATAGCCTAGAGATAAAATAGCAAACAAATCAATGCAATTACTTATTTAGTACCAGTCTTACTTTTCGTTTTGTAACTTTACTACTCGTATTATTTATTTTTGGAAACTACTATTACTATTGTTAGAGATAAGAAACGATTCAAAACCAAACACTTTATTAAGATAGTAGTAATCAGAAGCAGAGTAAAATTTCTCCACAGAACTACATTCTCTTAACCTCCAAAGCTATTTATTACTTGGATGAGTCTTACAATTAAGACTTGACCTATATTTATATACAGTAAAGCCTGTACAAAATAAATAATATTGGGATTTCAGAAATTTATTATTTACTTATAGAGAAATTTTTCGGTTTGAGTTTTTACTGTTCATCAAAAATAATAACAAATATTTTAATACAATAAAATTCGTTTAAAGATTTCATATTAATAAATTTGAAAGATTAGTCCAACAATATTTCTAAACTTATAACAACAATATAAACATATTTTACTACATTACATTATTTATATATATTTAAATATATAATTATTAATTTAACTTATTATTGAGACTATATATTTATATAAAAGTTTTTAAAAAATTATTATCTTATTTTTTATTGAGTTTTGCTAATTTTTACATTGGTCTGATTTAAGTTAAAAACGCCAAAATTTATTAATTTATAATAGTTATTAATTTTATTGAGTATTCATTTATTGAATATTAGTTGATAGAGATTCTATGATATATATACTTATTTTTTAAAACACTGCAGTTCAAAAAAGGAAATACAAAAACAAAAACACTAATGGTAAAAAGAAAGTTATAACGAGTAACGAACGAATCAATACAACAATAACCCATAAGTCTTTCCATGTGTTGACAACTCAGCTTTTTTGTGTTATTAGAAGCTGACACATCAACAAAATACTGAACCAATTAAAACATTTCATTAATACACTTCATCTCAATATTTTAACACATAGGCAAATTTTTTTTTATCATCAAAATTTTTCATTAATAAGACCCAATATGGACAATACATAGAAATTGAAGCCCAATATTATTATTTTAGGATAACTGCAAAATTAATCCTCATTATATCGATGACAAAAATTAAAACATACCATTTTTAATAATGTACTACATGTTGTTTTATAATTTTTAATTTTTTTAAAAAAAAGAACAAACTGAAGCTCATTGTATATTATCGACATCTTCTTTCTCCTTTTCCCTATCATCATCTTCTTCGTCCATCTTCTTCAATTATTCTAGAAATTATCTAATTAACATAACTAATTGATAACGTTTATTGGCAAACAAACCTAAAATTCTAATGAAATGAATCAATTAATATTCTTATCTCATCAAACTCACGATTTCACTTCTAAGATTTTAACTTTGTGGCAACTTTGTGGGGGGGGGAAAATGATTTCTTAACCATGGATCTATTCAGGAGATATGGTGGTTCTCGAAAGAGTTTGGAAAAGATCTATAATCACATTGTGATGATGAATTTTCTGAAAGTTGAAGCTTTGAATAGGTAAAGCTTTGTCCATGATGCTAAAGACGGATGAGATATCCAATTACAGTAACACCAAATCTAGTTTAAGTTGTATTTAGGCTTGCGTTTATTACTTTAATGTTTTGGGCCTTTGTATTTGGGTGTTACTCCTGTATCATATCTATCATATGGCTTACTAATAAAACTATATCTAAATATAGTGTGAAGTTTGAAGGTTTGAGATATACATATAAGTGTGACTAATGTTTAGGTATGATAATGTTAATGTTTACATGTTTAAAGCAAAGATATGAGAAAAAGTAAAAAATCCAGAAAATTATGTTTTCTATATATTGAAATTAAATAATTTTGTATACTTTGACAAAGAGAGAGTGCACCAAATTTTAATTAATTATCAAAAGAATGAGTATTTTTTAATCAAGTTATTGTATACTTATGAATAAATATTTGAAAGTGTATTAAGTTTTTGAAAGCAAATATATTATGTTTAAAGGTATCAAAGATCTGATCGAAAAAGTTGCCAACCGCCTAAATCTCGACCAGTGACTATGATTCAATAGATGCAAGAAACGCTGATATGATTTGGAGAATGGGAGGAATTGCGACATTGTGAAGCCATTTTCGTAGTTGCTAGACTTGTTTCTAGCATATGTGAGAGAAAAAGAACTGAAGAAAAATAAATTTATAAGATCTGAGGTCAATTAAATACGAGCTTCAAACATTTGACATGGTTATTTGGTTTCTTTCGATATATTTTGTAGTTTTTTTTAATTTCTAGAGCTCAAGGTAGCGATCTGGTCAATATATAAACTTAAGCTATAGTAAATATATAAGCTAATGTGAATTGTTGATTCATTTGTGGTTTTTTACTAAATATTTTTTTAAATGCTAAAGAAATATTAATGTTAAAATAATTATTTTATTTAGTGTAAGAAAAACATGCATTAAAAGTTTCTTAATTAAAAATATGAATATAACTTGCAAGTAGAAAAATTTATGATCATAAGTAAACTTATAATAGTAAAATGTGTTTTTTAAGTTTTGGTTGAAAAATGCGATTTCTCGATTTTACCAGAAAATATGATTTTACCGGTTTAGAAAAAAAAATACAATTTTTTCAGGTTTCGTTAGAAAAACATAATTTGTGGTTTTTTCGAAAAATATGATTTTAGGTTTTTTTATTATTTTTAAATTTAAGAGTATTTTAGTCATTTGTCATTTTGAACTGAAACATCTCCATCAAGATGGTACAATTTGGTTCATTCAGATAATTCTCATAAATTTATCTAAATTTTGAAAAATCATCTAGATAATTTATCTAAATATTTTTTGATTTAGTTACAAAACAAACAAAAATTTCATTTTTATTTCAAATGAGCCATATAAATGGAAAAATAAATAGGGTCTAAATCCAAAACTTATGCTAAATAAAAAATAAATATAATATTTATTTATACTGTAAAAAATGTTTTTTTATTTTAAAAATATATAAAATTTAGAATAACATCCCGCAGCATAGCGCGGGTAAATACCTAATCAACACAACAATAACCCATAAGTCTCTCCATAGATTGACACATCAGCATTTTCAAGCTTTTGGGAGATGACACTTCAGCAAAAAAAAACACCAATAAAAACATTTCATTAATACAAGTCATCAATTTATTTTAACTTTTAAATTTAAACCCATTAAAAACTCAAATATTTTTATTGTTAATTTTAGTTTTATTTTTTGGTCAAGCCCAAACCCAAATAATAAATAACAGCAAATAAAAAAAATTGTTTTATTTTTTTAACAAATCCAAATAATAAATAACAACAAATAATAAAATTAAATCTTCGTTTTATATTTTTGCCAAACCGAAACTCAAATAATAAATAACAGCAAAAAAAATTAAAATTTCTAACTATGTGTTTGCTTGATAGAGATGTATATGATTGAAGAAAGTATAGACTCATCATCAACTATGTTTCCATAACAACAATGCAAAAAGCGTTATGTTATAAGAAGCTCACACATCAGCAAAAATTTGACCAATAAAAACATAACAATAATACATATTATTAACACATTAATAAAATCAATTTACTATTTTGCTGACCCATTGAAAAGCCCAAAGTTTACAAAAAAAAAATGAAAGGCGAAAGCAAATGAGGAGAAACTCAGACTACCACAGCTTGGAGATTCGCATTTCCACTGGTTACCGAGAACAAATTTTCTTGGGTTTGGCGAAAATAGAGAATTTCTTGGTTTTGGTAGAAAAATGTGATTTTTAGTTTTGGTAGGAAAACATAGTTTCTCGGTTATGGCAAAAAAAACAAATTCTCGGATTTGGTGGTAAAATGTAAATTTTTGGTTTTAGTGAGAAATAAAAAATTTGATTTTGACGAGAAAATGTGAGGGAAATGCAACTTTTCAATTTTGACAAAAAATACGATTTCTCGGTTTTGATAGAAAATGCAATTTTCGGCTTTTGATGGATAATGTAATTTCTTAATTTTTGCGGAAAATTATAATTTGACAATTTTGGCAGAAAATACAATTTCTCGGGTTGATAGAAAAGTAAAATTTCTCGATTTTGGCAGGAATAAACAATTTTTTGGTTTTGATGGGAAATACAAATTTTAAGTTTTTGACATATAATTTGATTTTTGGTTATCGAGGGAAAATATAATTTCTTAGTTTTCGTGGGAAGCGCAATTTCTCAGGAGATAATGCAATTTTTAGTTTTTGCGGAAAATTGTAGTTTATCGGTTTTGGTAGGAAGGCGTGATTCTTGATTTGACGAGAAAAATATTTTTTTCTTGTTTTGGTAGGAATAGACGATTTCTCGATTTTTGCGGTAAAATAATTTTTTTGGTTTTGACGGAAAAATACTGTTTTTTTGTTTTTGCAAGAAGATGAATTTTTTTGGTTTTGGTCAAAAAAACTTAATTTCTCTGTTTTGACGGAAAAACACAGGTTCTCGCGGGAAAATGTGATTTTTTGGTTTTTGAGAGAAAATGCAATTTCTTTGTTTTGGTAGGAAAATGAAATTTCAGGTTTGACGAGAAAATAATTTTTTTTTGGTTTTGGTGGGAATAAGCGATTTCTCAGTTTCGTGGGAAATAATTTTTTTGTTTTATCGGAAAATGCAATTTCTCGGTTTTTGTAAAAAGATAAAATTTCTCTGTGTTAAATTTTCAAGTTATAATATGTTTATGGTAACCAAATTTGAATTATTTAACTTCAACTAAACTGATATTTCAACAGTTCAAATAGAACTTTCTATTTAGTTCTAAAGTAATAGTAATGATTTTGATATGAATGTTATTGATTATAGTTTGGTAGTTTTAGAAACATATGTCTATAATAAATATTTGATAAATAAATAAATTTTATAATTTAAAATAATCATATTAATTAATATTTTTTTAAATGGCAATTTGCTTTATATAAGTTCAAAGGAGGATCAAGTAGCAATTTAGTAGAGAAAATAAATTACATCTACCATTAGCTTGAATTGTACTTAAAAATGTATTGTTTTATTCTTACATATACATTTATAGATAGTTAGCTAAACAAATTTGATAGTAGATTATAATTTTAAAAAATAAAAAACTTAATGATATATAATGTTTATTCAGATTTAAAACATATAAATACATAACTTAAGCTAATAAAAAATAAATATAATACTTATTTAAAATATATAAATAATTTTATTATATTAAAAATATATACAAATCTAGAAAAATATTCCGCAGCGTAGCGCGGGTAAATACCTAGTACGTATAATAATAATTACTTATTTAGTTACTACTCTTAACTGCCGTGAACAAGTTTTCACATGTCCTATGAAAATGAAACTTACACATGTAATAAAGTCATGTTTGAGGTAAAGAGCTTTTCTGGGATATCGCCCGAGAGCTTATTATTTCCAAAATGACTGCAACCGAAAACGAAGGAGAGTCAGACTTATTAGACTGCTAAGCAGAGTGATTATATAAAAAGAATGGGAAAAATTTGCAATATATATACAAATGCTGAGTTTCCAAAAGCATGTCAAGTCCAGGTGAAGAAGTCCCAATAGAAACTGGAAGCTTTCCTTCGATCTGATTGTCAGCTATATCAAACCAAAATAGTTTCGATAACCGTCCAATGGAAGCCGGAATTGTTCCACTAAATTTATTTGAATTCAGGGAGCTGTATGGAGGAAATACAAATTAATTATTCAATACTAATGGGTTTGGAGACTGCTATTTTAAAAGAGACTTACAGAGTTGTAAGTGCTTCTAGAGATCCTATCGTCTCAGGGATTTGACCACTGAAACCACATGCCATAAGGTTCCTGGAGAAGAAAAAAAACTAGTTAGTTACAACAGATGAGGTTAAAAATTGGTCATGATCATGTTTCCTTACAAGGTAGTCAACTTCTTGAGGTTACCGATATTTGATGGAAGCGGTCCAGACAATTTAGGGTTGGATGTCAAATCCCTACAAATATTGGATCATAAGATGAGAAAGAAAACCCATTTTTATGCCAAGTAAGAAGAAGAAAGACCTACAAGATCTGCAATTCAGACAACGCTGAGACATCAGCAGAAAGCTTTCCTTCCAAGTTAAGGTTGCCTAATGATCTGAAACAATCAACAACACAACGTTAAAGGTTGAGAGAATTATTGGAAGAAGCATTAAAAAAAAAAAAAGTTTTTACATTGAGATGACGCGGTCATTGCTACATGTAACTCCAACCCAATTGGTTCCACAAGGATCAGAGCCTTTCCAGCTCTCAGGAAACCTAGTCCATTCACTCTTCAGGGATAGTAAAGCAGAAGCTGCACCCATTTCGAAACTAGTTTCAAGATTTTAAAATTTCTATATTTTAAAAACTCACATCATCATGTAACCCTACTTACCATCTGAGCTATTTGTGAGCGCAGAAACAGAACAAATCTGGAAGAAAAGCAATATCAGGAGCATGCAGACTCCAATTCTTGAACTCATCTTTAGACCAACAAACAATATGTTGTATCCAAAAATGATTCGAGAAGAACGCCTCCTCGTTACCAAAACATGTCGACAATAATGTGAACGGAAATGAGAAGAAGTCTTTGGACAATTTAAATGATAAATAAATACAAAAAAATAGACAGTGGACTATATAAAAACTTAATCAACTTGAAACAGCTGATAGTGGAAGTATATAATAATTTGATCAACTTGAATAGCTGACAGTGAGTCTAACCGAATGTTTCAAAAGCTGTCAGATGGAAATGTCAACAGGGTAATGGGAAGGAACAAATTATAAACAATACATGTAAGAACGCATAGCTACGACCTGCGTTGTGCGTGATTAAAATTAGCAATTCTAACGATGGAGAAATTTAACTGGTACCGTGATTTAATCTGATCTGATACGAAACCAAGATGAAATAATTACATACGGAAAATGTTTAAGGAAAAATGAACACATTTTTTAAATGTTTACGGAAAAATGAACATATTTTTTAAATGTTTTTCTCTAGTAGTAATTTAAGCTTATCAAAATAAAATAAGGAGGATCATGGCGACTTGAGGATCAGAGAAAATTTTAAAAGATAATTGAAAATCATCATTAATTAAAAAAAAAATGATATTTTTATATTATAAAATATGAGAATTATCTCCAGAAGAAAGAAAAAAAAGGAATTCGCAGCAACCAAAAAAAGGAATTTTCTGTCGAAGAAACTCCCAATGCACCAAGGTGGATCTTACACATCGATGGAGTATCTTCAAAACAAGGATTCAGCATTGGTATTAAAAAGGAGCCCCCAACAGACGAAGTCTACGAGCAGTCATTTAAACTCGGCTTTTCTGCATCTAACAACTAGGCTGAATATGAAGTATTAATCGCCAGCGTCGACTCGGAAAAGGGATCAGGACTAAAAATGTACAAGATTTCTGCGACTCTCAGCTCGTCGCCAGCTAATAGGCGATTACACAAAAAGTGAACGTATGGACGCCTATCTCAAGACGATCCAACACTTCACTAAACAATTCGATTTGTTCAAACTTACCAAGATACCACGAACCAAAAATACTGCCGTCGATGCTTTGGCAACACTTGCTTCAGAAATCGAGATAATGTTTCGTCGTACTATCCCAGTTGAAACCATCGACCAACCGATTATTCAGCTCTGTAAAAGAATATATAACATGACCCATTTTCAAGAAAACGAGGTTGATGATTCAATATATCTCTATCCCGATGAAAGAACATGTCTGTGGCAAGACGAAATCAAAAATTACTTGAACGTAGAACTGTCTCTCAAGAAAGGTGGACAACACAGCGTTTACCCAAAAAAGTGCACTCAGTATATATCCAGGATGGCAACCTCTTTTGATGGACTGAAAACAAGGTGATCCTACAATATTGTAATAAAGAAGAAACCAAATATGCTATGGTGGAAACTCACGATCGAGCATGTGGTAATCATTTTGGTGGAAGAGCCTTTGCCCTAAAGATCAAGAAGCATGGACTTTTCTGGACTAAAATAATTGCGGCTTGCAAGAAATTTGCAACCAGATGCGAATCATGCCAACAATAAACACCTCTAATCAACACAGCCACCAAAATCTTTCAAACAGTCGTCCCACCTTATCCATTTATGCGGTGGGCAATGGATATCGTCAGCCCTATGTTGAAGTCTTGTTGATTTAAATATATTTTAGTCTTCACCGATTACTTCATAAACTGGGTAAAGGCTAAAGCATTTATAGTTTGCTATATTAGAGCATTTTAAGCTGCATTTCATGCATCTTTTCCCTTGTTTTTGCATATTAGTTTAGCATTTTAGTATCATTTGTACTTAGAATCAATATTGCATGCATTTAGTTTGGGATTGCATACATATGCATACATTTGCATGTTTGTGGTATTTCTCAGGTGCTTTTGGAGGTTCTTGGAGTTTAGGGAGGAGATGAAAACAGCTCATATTCGAAGAGATGTCAAAGAAGGAGATTTGCCAAGTCTGGTCCCATATCGAGATGGTGCATCGAGCAAAACCTCTGAGGAGTGTGCCCGATACAAGCCGTGATACATGAGGAAGAAGACTAGCTCGTGGATCCTAAGGCACAGTCTACATCGAGGTGCTGCATCGAGCAAGGAAAGCATGCACAAGCCGATACATGCTGCAAAGACTATATCGGGGTGGTGCATCGAGCAGAACACTGTCTGTACCGTCCCTATACAACTTATCCGCGTGTTTGGCCAGATTTTATCGTTGACCTTATCCTATTTTTAGGTTTTTCCTTCCTTTTTAGCTCCCGACTGTAAAAGGGAAGCCACCAAACTTTGTCACTATATCATCTTGATTCCAAAACCTTATCTTATCTCTTGCTTATCCAAAAAGGCGATTTGCCCCATCTTGTAAACACATTTATTTTCTTCAATTAAGTTTGCATTTTTATGGTTTAATCTGGTCTTCTGAGCTTTGATACATCACCCTGGTAGATTAGTTTTCATTATCTTGCACTTAATCTCATCTAATCAGGTTTAACTCTAATCAAATAGGAATAAACATGGTTAGTGAGTAGTTTACCTTAGATTTAGGGTTCTAAGTAGGGAAAGTGGTGATTAAGATGTGATTAAGGGGTGATTATGCTTGATTAGTTATTCTCTGTTGTTTCCTTCTCTTGCAAAGTGATTATTGCTCATAAAGCTTCTTCCTTTTGATTGAATATAGTTTTGTTGATGCATATGGTTCACTTGATAGTTTGAAGTCTTGGTCTTTGCATGATTCACCTATTTTGCTTGATAGTCTTAGCTTGGTCTATGTTTCCTTTTTTCAGTGACACCAAAGTGATAGTTCACCTTGCTAGATGATTCGATTAGAGCTAGATAGTGCATGATTTGAGATTCTTGCTTGATGGTTAGATAGTATGCATTATAAGAACATGATTTTGCTTGAAATCCTGTTCATTGCTAGACATTGTTAGGATTCACAACCGTGAGCTTACTTCTATGTTCTTGATTGGTGATTAGATACTTAGGTCCCTATATGGCTCAAAAGTTTGATAGGATGATCTGAATTCTTGCTTGAGTGAGAGATGTTTACTTGATTAGTTCATCTTTTAGGCTCTATGGTTCTGTTCTTTATCCTCATGATTAGATAATACACCATCAAAAGTGGGTTTGACACTCTAGTCTTGTTGAATTGGGTTTGCCTATTAAACACTAGGAAGATCATTCATTAGATACCTTGTCTAGGATTGCATCATTTAGAACTGCTTGCTTGTTTGATGCTTGTTGATTGCCTTTGCTAGAAATCCCCTTAGTCACTCTTGAAAACCACTTGACCACTATTGCTTAGAACCTTGAGTCTTGCTTTTTATTAATTGTCTTAAAACCGCTTTGCTTAGTTTCTTTTGCTTGCTTAATTTCAGTAATCATCTTGTTTAGTTTCATCTTGCTTTAGTTTCATTCTGCTTAGTATTTGTTTACTTGCATTTCAGTTCTGTTTTGTCTTTATTGCATTGTTAGGTTCAAGGGCCTAAAAACCTTTGTTTCATATTGGTGTCGTTGCCACTTGTGGATTGTTTGAGTTTGACGTTGCTGTTAGACTAAGTTCTTTTCACTTAGACTGAGTTCTTTTCTTTTTCATTACTAATTAGCTCTATTTTCATTGCTCTGTTTTTTCAGGTACTTGTATGAATTTGAGGTCCAAAGGTTCATCAAATCTGATTCCTTCTATAGACAACATCCATAGAATAAGGGCTGTAACACAGAGAGTTCAGGAGTTATAAGAGCAGAGGATGGCAGAACAAGAAGCTCAGTGACCGCACATTGGTGTTGTTGGACATGCACCAATACCACAAGCTGATGCACACATAGATGAAATTTAGGAAGCTATGAACCAAGCGGCTGAAGTTCAGGATTTGAAAGTACCAGTTCATGCACCAAGAATTCAAAAACCTATAGGAGCTGGTGATGCGCCTGATACTCACATCAACCGCAATGGTATTAACACTCCTGCTAAACACCAGAATCAATTTGAGATTAAGCTTGGGTTAATCAACATGGTGCAAGGAAACATATTTCATGGTCTGCCTAATGAGGATCATTTAGACCATTTGGATCAGTTTGACAAAGTGTGTGGTATGAACAAGATTCAAGGCGTGTCTGGAGATGCTTTGAAGCTGCGCATATTCCCTTTCAGTTTAGGAGATAAGGCACATCAGGGAGAAGACACTTCCACAAGGATCAATCTCAACTTGGAATGAATGCAAGACATCATTTCTCAATAAGTTCTTCAGCTCAACAAGAACAGCAAAGCTCAGGAATACAATTAGCAGCCTTGCTCAAGATGGAAATAAGACATTTGCTAAAGCATAGGAGCGCTTTAAGTCATACACATTGCAGTGTCCACACCATGGCTTTACCAATAAAAGTCTGTTGTCTACTTTGTACAGAGGCGTCACTCCTAAATAGCGCATCCTCTTGGATACAGCTTCCAATGGGAACATCATGGGTAATATTGTGGTGGATGGCCTTGCTTTGGTTGAGAATCTGGCCTTATCAGATGGACGCTATGGTGAAGAGTATGGCAGAACATCAAGAGTTGTTGGAAGCGCTGAAAGTGAGAGTACAAAGAAGGATACCAAAGCTTTGAATGACAAGCTTGATAAGCTGTTGAGTGCATCATTTAAGAATGTGAGCTATGTGGGGGAAGCTGATGCTACACAAGGAGAAGATGGGACAGTTATAGAAGAGAAGACTTTCTACATGAACCAACAAGGAGGAGGTTTCAACAACTTCAGAAATCACCCAAACTTTTCCTATAGAAGAACAAATGTGGCAAATCCACAAGATCATATTTATCCCTCACAAGGTGCTCAACAAAACCAAGGAGCCAAGCCTTTTGTTCCTTTCAACCAACATCAGAACTTTGCCCCAAGATCACCATTTCAAGGTGGATTCCAGCAATTAAATTTTCAGCAAGACCAGCTTTTGTTCCACCAGGTTTTGGTAATGCACAAGGCTCTTCTAGCACTCAAGATGGTGATATCAAGAAGATGATGCAACAGCTGTGAATGGTCAAGCCAACACCACTATAGAGCTGCATAAGAAGTTTGCTGAAGTGCACAACAAGATTGATGCTACAACTTGTGATTTGAATGGAAAGCTTGTTGCTTTAAGTCAAAGAGTTAAGTCTCTAAAGAGCAAAGGAGCTTCATCTTCAAAGACTCTAAACCAATTACCAGGAAAGAGTGAGGCCAATCCTAAGGAATTCTGCCATTTGATTGCTGAAGAGGATAAAGAGTTTGATTGTTACCGCGATTCATTCTCCTCAGATAATTCTGATATAGACTCCAAGATAGAGCTGGAAGGATCCGAGCTGTTAGGGCAAGTGAAGGGTTTACCTCAGAAGATAGAGATGCCAGAGCAAAAAACTGGGGTAAAAGATATAAGGACCCGGATGACCGCTGATAGTCTTCAGGAGCTCCGGTGGTGCTGTAATTTTCCTAAGGAGGTGGAAATCCTTCTTCCTCAACCAGATGAGAGGGCGTCGCAACCTCGAACAGGATACTTCTGCGCGTTTGGACTTGGCTTTCCAATCTCGCCGCTCCTCTTCGCTATTGTGAATGGAGGAAGATTCCATTAGGACAGCTTTCCCACGCTGTAATTTATCATTTCAATTGTATGGTGGCGGTTGCCCGGGCAGTAAAGATACCATTCAAATCTCCATCTTTAAGAGCGGGAAGATTGATAGCTTAGGAAAACCTCATCATTTCTTTATGACGATGAGGTTTGGTATCGTTGGTGGGGACTTCACGAGTAAAGTCCACGACTGGGAAATTTTCTACATTTTGTGAAAAGTAATGAAGCGTCTATCGGTAATTACGACCTTGATCTCTTCACGGCTTGGAGGCTTAAGCCTAATAGTTAAATTTGCTTTCTTGATGGATGTGGTTTATCACTTGAAAATTCTAATTCCGTAATTTTTCGTTTTTGCAGACAGTCAGTCTTGGAGCAGACCCTTTTGGCTTCGATATTGATGTCTCCAAGCTCAGAAAATCCAGTCAGAGACTTTGGCCTGTGAAGGGGAAAAAGGATCCTTCGAAGAAAAGAGTGAGGGTTCCGAAGCCGAAGGTGGAGAAAGCCAAAACTCCAAAAGCAAAGGTAGTTTTCAATTTCGTTTGAATGGCTAGTATTATTATTTTTGGATAATTTTTGAAATAATCATTTTGAAAATTTATTATGAAACATGACCCTTCCTAAAATGACTCATAAGAGAGATCCACTAGTTTGCTTTCAATTTGTCAATAATTTGCAATTAGTCTAGCATTAGTCTGCCAGTAGGCTAAATTCAATTATTTGACCAAACAGTCTGCCACTAGTCTGCCAGTAGTCTGCATTCAGTCTGCCAGTAGTCTGCATTCAGTCTGTCGTTACTCTATCATTAGTCTACAAATATCAATAGTTAGAAGGGTAGCCATGATATTTATAAAAATCGTAAAATAGAGTCATTTTCACAATTTTCCCTTAATGGGATACCCATTTCACATTATTTTATCATTCTGGGTCATTTTGAAGCATTTCCTCTATTATTTTCATGATAAAATGTGACCGCTTATCCTTGCTTTCTTTGTATTTCAACTCCCAACAAACCAGCTCAATCTCAATCTGAGCCAAAGAAGATGGGTCTTAAAAGAAGGGATAGGTCTTCAACAGTGGAGATTGTTATAATGGCGAGGTCTAAGAGACCAAAGTTAAACCTTCCGCCAGAGCTTATTCCCATAGACTCCAACGAGGTCATAAAAGTCTTAGGAGACGACGAGGTGGAGAAGTATTAACCATATTTATGATTTTTTGCTCTTATTCTTTGCTATTCTATAACTTATATTTAATAATTTGAACAGGACGGATACATTGAATAGGGCCAGGCAGGCTGCTACCAAAAAGGCTGAGGAAGCAAAGTGAGCTAAGGAAGCTGGTAAAGCCGGCCCGTATGCGGAGGTAGAATAGATGATCATCAATGGCCTAAATCTCTCAAATGATGCCACAAACAATGTGGTCCATCCTCGTACTACTCCATCCTCCCAAGAGACATCTACTTTGAGTGACCCTGAGTCTAACGAGATGGCACCCACCACTTATCCCAAAAATGAGCCCGGAGGCGTTGCTCCAGAAAGTTGTCCCGTGCCGAAATCTGAGAAGCGGGAGGACGGCAGCTACAGCCCCAATCACTTTAACCTCCGGTGGGATGGCGATACCCAGTGATATTTGATGGCAATTTTGCTGTGAATCTGGTCTAGCCATACAAACCGAACCTGAGATGCGGTACTCTTCTGAAGGAGTTCGAACGACCTAAGGATCGTTGTGCGGAGTGTGGAGGCTTCGCATGTTGCTTTTCTTTTTTCATAATCATTTTTATTAATGTAAAAATTATTACATTATATATATCATACAGTAATTAATCTAAGAAGTATTTATTTTCATATGAAAAAGAGTATAAACTAATCATCTTTTTGGTTTTCTTCGTAATTAACACATTTTCTTGTATGGACAACTTTCATTAGACAACTATTTAAATTTTTTTTAATTGTCTTTTTAATTATTTGATTTAATATTTAGAAAGTATAGAATGTGCTGTCTTGTTTCTACAAAAGGTAAAAAAAAAAAATAATATCCTAATTTTATTCTTAAAAATTTTTTAATATAAAGTAAAAATTTATATTTTCTAAAACTACACAAAAAACTAAATATAGTGTGTCCTAAATCTATACAAATCCTTAACTCCATTCTTAAAAACACATACACACACATAAACTTAACCACAAACACCATTGTTACGAACTCTGTTGTAAAGTATCATTATCCTCCAGAGAAAATGTCAGAGTCCTCACATAAAGAAATGAAATTTCTCAAAAACAGAATGGTCATGTAAGCAATGCAAGCCATGTCTAGATGTATTAACTCTTTTTTGGGCCATGTATTGATGTTTGTTTGACTTAATTTGTGCAAAATCAGACCTTGCTTCTCCCTTAACGCCTCCTAATGATAGCTTTCAAGAGTCTATCATCGATTTTAAGCAAAATATCTAGCTGATGTGACTTGGTCATCCATGGCAATGCCTAAACCAGCAAAATATATTTTTATAGCTTAAATGATATAAGGCTGTGCCATGACTTTTATACAGCGTGTAGCCTTGATTACATGACCATTCTGATCCTGATACCTTGATTTTAGCAAAATATACTCCAAGAGGCGCAGTCAATTAGCAGTTGTATGTATCATCGAAGGTATTTTTGAAAAACACAAAGGATCATAGATCAACCAATTTGTTCTGATTCTTAATCATACCGGCATAGAGGATAAGATCCTCAGGTGGATCAAAACATGCGTGAGTAAAAATATTCAAGAGCTGGAGTTAGATTTTTCCAAATCTAGGAAAGTTATAGAGTTTACAATTGACTTGTCAGCCATCCAGACGCTAGCAGTCTTGAAGCTAAAATGGTGTCAGTTTGAGATATCTGAGAACTCTCCCAAGGGTCTTAACTTACTGAGAATGCTGGCGTTAATGAAGACCAAGGTGACAAAAAAGACGCTAGATGCAATCTTCAACAACTGCATCCACCTCAAGACGCTTGAACTAATCAACTGTCGAATGTACGGGGTATTGAGAATCAACGCTCAAAACAATATGAAGTTAAGTTGTTGGTCGTGTATTCTATGCTGAATCTCTTGATAAAAAAATTGGATGCACCCACTCTTGAATGCTACAAGTATGATGGATATGTCAGGATGATTGACTTTTCAAGAGTGAATGTACTTAAAGAGGTAAAACTTCATTATAATCGGAGTTATGATCGGCATAGTTGCAATCCACTTGCCATGGTGATTGCTAATATGGGAGCTTTTATGGGAGTTCATGTTCTCGCAGCGACAAACATCTTTCTTGAGGTATTTTGATTGTTTTTCGTTTTGGTTTTCATATATATAAAACTATATCTTTTTGTGCGTTTATTATAATAGCTGAATACGGAGTTTATGGTGTCATTTCAAGATCATATGCACGAGTTGAAATTTTAGAAAATGTTGATATTGGAGCATGCCACTTTCACATTATTTCATATTGTTGGTCAGTCTCTCTTTTTCTCTAGAGTTGCTTTATTCGTTTGTCAAATACTAACTAGCATGTCATCAGAGAAACTTACAGATTTCTCAAAAAATATGTGATCTATATATATATATATATATATGAAATTCACTTCAAGATAGTCCTAATTCTTATATATATATATATAAAAAATTCACTTCAAGATAGTCCTAATTCTACACTCCCAACTTAACTTTATATACCTTAAGAACATTGTGGAACCTAGTAACAGTTTAAAATTACAAAATTATTGCTATAATCTGTTTTCCCAAAAACCTAGTAAAAGTCATGTAACCCTAACTATAGGTATTAGTGGAGACGGTGGTCGTTAGGTTGTGGTCTCTTTTCTCTTTTTTCTCAGTTGATCCTCTGATTTTAACAACTAAGAAGTGGGGTTTTTATTTATTTATATACACATCTATAGATATATGTTCTCTTCACTCCTCCTGAGTTAATATGAAGTAGATCTTGGCTTCTCCTTGTCTACTGTTGGTATTTGGTAACTCCCATCGCTGTCCAGCATACCTTAATCATTGATGTTGTCTCTTCCCTTCTGGTGTAAAATTGAAACACAAAAACGTGTTATAATCTCCAAGTGTTAAGAGGGAGGCTCTTTCAGTGGCATTATACTACATGTACACAAACCTACGAGCTACCATTCAGACATACTAGATGAGTATCAAGTATCCAAATATCATTCCAAATGGTGATGTTACAGTTCGAACCTAGTCTCATCTGAAGACTTTGTCTAAATAACTTTTCTTGTCAAATAAAATACTTTTCAAACCAAAAGGTGAAGGATTAGGTTTTCGAGCTTATATAGGATGAATATTCAATAATTCTTTACTAGAAAAAAAATTCTTTCTACCAGCGAATTCGAAAATTGCAATATCTCTAAACAATATTGCTTTATCGAAGCTATATTGAGTCTTTCTAGAGAGCCAAAATCCAATCCACTTTTTTTTCATGGTTAAAAAACTTCTCTCACATTATCTATCTAATGGAGACCGCATTTATAAACTCTCGCGTATAATTTCTATAGGTTGCACAAACTCTTTAAATAACCATCATGGGGAATATACACCATATATACGACTATGCAACTGTCACATGTATTGTTTTCTTTGCTTTATTTTGTTAATTTCTTATCACTGTTTGTTTAAAGTGAGTTTTTGTGTTTCCTCTCTCATGTATATAGGCTTTGACGAATAGCAACCCGAATTCTAGCTTTTAGAACTTACAAGAGTTTAAGATTGTTTTCAGTCTCCAACAAATTGTACTCTTTTTGACATTGCTGCGTTTCTCAAAAAGTACTGCCCTAACCTCGAGAAAGTTTCGATCGATGTAAGTCTGTCTCTCTCTCTCTCTCTCTCTCTCTCTCTCTCTCTCTCTCTCTCTCTCTCTCTCTCTCTCTCTCTCTCACAAGGCCAAATTCATTAATACTTTTGTTTCTTATGTGCAGATAAATGATTTCACATTTGAACCTTATATCTTATGGGAGCTCTATCAGAAGCCAACGGTTCAGAATGGCAGCTACCCTTTGAACACTATCAAGTATGTTGAGATCATGGGCTATAAAAACGGCTGGCATGAGCTTGATATAGTGGAGTTCTTCGTTAGGAATGCAAAATCTCTGGAGAAGTTGAAGCTGATAGAGCCAAGAAACCCAGAGGTCACAGTGTTTGAACCAGAGTATGAAAGGATCACCAACATAAAAAGCTTATCTCCAGAGAAAGATCTCATTGAATTTATCAAATCAGGTCGTGGCATAAACATGCCAGACTATAATAGCTCTTTTGATCATTTTATGTTTTTTCTTCTATAATTTGAACTCTATTTGCTTTCATTTTTTTTCCTCAGATTTGGACTTATGCAAAGTTCTTCTAGACTATATAAATGTCAACATGTTATCATGCTCCTAATTTAAGATCAATTGCTATTGGGTTATGACCACGAAATTACAATATCATTATTATTATTTTAGTTATTGTAACTAGGTGATCATAGAATTTTCTCCCACTTATTTGCAACGAAAATCTTACATAAATGAATTTGATTAGAAGAAACATGGAAAAAAATTGGTACTTAGAATTTTAGTTAATTCATTTGAAACTCTGAAATAAAGAAAAAGAAAACTTTGAAACAACGAAGTTGAAGCTGATAGAGCCAAGAAACCCAGAGGTCACAGTGTTTGAACCAGAGTATGAAAGGATCACCAACATAAAAAGCTTATCTCCAAAGAAAGATCTCATTGAATTTATCAAATCAGGTCGTGGCATAAACATGCCAGACTATAATAGCTCTTTTGATCATTTTATGTTTTTTCTTCTATAATTTGAACTCTATTTGCTTTCATTTTTTTTCCTCAGATTTGGACTTATGCAAAGTTCTTCTAGACTATATAAATGTCAACATGTTATCATGCTCCTAATTTAAGATCGATTGCTATTGGGTTATGACCACGAAATTACAATATCATTATTATTATTTTAGTTATTGTAACTAGGTGATCATAGAATTTTCTCCCACTTATTTGCAACGAAAATCTTACATAAATGAATTTGATTAGAAGAAACATGGAAAAAAATTGGTACTTAGAATTTTTAGTTAATTCTTTTGAAACTCTGAAATAAAGAAAAGAAAACTTTTGAAACAACGAAGTTGAAGCTGATAGAGCCAAGAAACCCAGAGGTCACAGTGTTTGAACCAGAGTATGAAAGGATCACCAACATAAAAAGCTTATCTCCAAAGAAAGATCTCATTGAATTTATCAAATCAGGTCGTGGCATAAACATGCCAGACTATAATAGCTCTTTTGATCATTTTATGTTTTTTTCTTCTATAATTTGAACTCTATTTGCTTTCATTTTTTTTTCCTCAGATTTGGACTTATGCAAAGTTCTTCTAGACTATATAAATGTCAACATGTTATCATGCTCCTAATTTAAGATCAATTGCTATTGGGTTATGACCACGAAATTACAATATCATTATTATTATTTTAGTTATTGTAACTAGGTGATCATAGAATTTTCTCCCACTTATTTGCAACGAAAATCTTACATAAATGAATTTGATTAGAAGAAACATGGAAAAAAATTGGTACTTAGAATTTTAGTTAATTCTTTTGAAACTCTGAAATAAAGAAAAAGAAAACTTTGAAACAACGAAGTTGAAGCTGATAGAGCCAAGAAACCCAGAGGTCACAGTGTTTGAACCAGAGTATGAAAGGATCACCAACATAAAAAGCTTATCTCCAAAGAAAGATCTCATTGAATTTATCAAATCAGGTCGTGGCATAAACATGCCAGACTATAATAGCTCTTTTGATCATTTTATGTTTTTTCTTCTATAATTTGAACTCTATTTGCTTTCATTTTTTTTCCTCAGATTTGGACTTATGCAAAGTTCTTCTAGACTATATAAATGTCAACATGTTATCATGCTCCTAATTTAAGATCAATTGCTATTGGGTTATGACCACGAAATTACAATATCATTATTATTATTTTAGTTATTGTAACTAGGTGATCATAGAATTTTCTCCCACTTATTTGCAACGAAAATCTTACATAAATGAATTTGATTAGAAGAAACATGGAAAAAAATTGGTACTTAGAATTTTAGTTAATTCTTTTGAAACTCTGAAATAAAGAAAAAGAAAACTTTGAAACAACGAAGTTGAAGCTGATAGAGCCAAGAAACCCAGAGGTCACAGTGTTTGAACCAGAGTATGAAAGGATCACCAACATAAAAAGCTTATCTCCAAAGAAAGATCTCATTGAATTTATCAAATCAGGTCGTGGCATAAACATGCCAGACTATAATAGCTCTTTTGATCATTTTATGTTTTTTCTTCTATAATTTGAACTCTATTTGCTTTCATTTTGTTTCCTCAGATTTGGACTTATGCAAAGTTCTTCTAGACTATATAAATGTCAACATGTTATCATGCTCCTAATTTAAGATCAATTGCTATTGGGTTATGACCACGAAATTACAATATCATTATTATTATTTTAGTTATTGTAACTAGGTGATCATAGAATTTTCTCCCACTTATTTGCAACGAAAATCTTACATAAATGAATTTGATTAGAAGAAACATGGAAAAAAATTGGTACTTAGAATTTTAGTTAATTCTTTTGAAACTCTGAAATAAAAAAAAGAAAATATTTTACAGAAAATAAGTTAACAAGAAGGAAAAAAAAACGATAAGTAAAAATAAAGCAATATTTCAAATAAAAATAAATAGAAAGAGAACATTTAGATTATACTGTATGTTTATATTTATATAGTTAAGCAAAAATAGGCTATACGATTTTTTTGGGATAATTTGCCAAATACCTTAGTTAAGATTTGAAAACTGAAAAATACACTGGTTATTTTTTTAACAACAATTTGCTGATATGTAAAAAGACATATTGGATTAGATTTTAATTAAAAAAAATACATATAAATATATTGATTTTATTGAAGGATCATAATTCATATTTAAAATTTTATAATTAGATATATTTCCCTAACAAAATATCAAATCATATGAGCTTTTGCCATTTCTGAATTATGTAAGGTACTTAACATTACGATGTATTGGCATAATTAAATATTTATATAGTGTTTTTCAACATTGTTTTGTAGGTAATATATGAGTGATTTTTGGTTTCCGGAAACAAAAATGAACGTTTTGACCCATAGAAAATGAACTTTCCTAAGATGATAGTGAAGCTGAAGATGGTTGAAGGATATGTAGAAGAAAATTTCGGTATCATTTACTTTTATTGAGAAAAGCTCTGCTCATTTACAAACCAGGGAAAAATGAAAAAAACAAATGAAAGAATAGACTAGTTTTAGCTTCTACAACTTCAAATCAAATAGGTTCTGTCAAAGTTGGCACTTTAAACCACCAATGAAGAAGACCTTATAAACACGCAAGTGACACTTAATAAGAATAACGAAGAGTTTGTGAGTTTAAAAAATTTTCAAATCAAACTCAGAAATAACATTGAACTTAGATTATCGGAAAAAAAAATTAATATGATTTTTTATTAATTTATAACTGAATATTGAAAAAGATTGTCTACATATTCTTGAAAAAGGATCAAATCCTTTGTAGTTCAATTTACAAAAGAATTAGATTTTAGAATATTAAAAGAATTAGATCTTCTCTCAAAGTGGTGGATTATTGGATATTGGATGGATCACTTCTTCTGTGATTTGCACTTCTACTTATATAGAAGTTAGGTCGGTTGAGTTAGATCTCCTTTTCTTTTATGACTTTATATTTTTTTTTATCTAGGAAATTGTCTTTTCCAATGAGATGTTAGGGTTTAATTAATTAGTCAGACAGGATGATCTTAATTTTGGCAGGACTTTAAGAGATGTTGCTATGACTATCACTACTAAACCCTCAAACTTGTGCAGAAAGGAGCTCAATAAAATTATCCTATTGCGAATAGCCTTATTTAGATGTCTAGAGAGTTGTGATTGAGATGTCCAACTTTTGTGATGCCATCTTAAGCAAGATGGAATCAAGAAATGCAGACCTTGCATGAAGTAGATGATTCACAGTATCCTCCCTATCTGGTATTGAATAGGAGCCAAGAAGATTACCCGCTACAACCAACCATACTGTATATGAGTAGGGGAATGCAAAAATGATTGATTTTATTAAGAGCTCAAAGGCTTGGCTGATTACAAAAATGGTGTGACCTAGAAGTTTTACCGAAGTGAATAAAGAATTTAGGAGTAATGAACTAGAAAGCTTGGAACTTTAGGTCTTGTTGTTCAGTTCTCTAGGGATTTCAGATTTATTCTTCAAGCTGTCTAGGGTCCTTTATTTATAAGATTCGGAGAGTCGAATCCAGTAAACTCCTTTTCCCTTATTCTTTAGGCATATTTCCCATCTTTCAAATATGGAAAAATCTTTTTTCTTTGATTTAATGGAGATTTTCAATTATCCTCAAGTAGTTTTCTTTTATTCATCAGGTCGGCACGATTTTTCTTATCTTGATGGCCTGAAGGTTATTGCTAGAGAAGGCCTTATAAGAAATATGCTCATTTTCTCTATTAAATAACCCCCCCCCCCCCCCCCCCCCCCCCCCACTTCGTCGAGGTAATTACAAATTTGCTCGGCGAACTTCATGAAGTGTGTATGGCTTAGTCTTGCAATAAATGCTAGTTTGTGAAGAGCATCCTCCTCAATTTTCATCTCGGCACGTCTTCAGTTTTTCGTGAAGCGGATCCAAATGCAGTGTTTCATTAAAACTTGTTTTAATGGGCTTGCCCCTTACACAGACCAGATTCCATTAGGGTTTTCAGTAGGCAGGAAATCCAAAGGTCTTCAGACGGCGAGAATGCGAATCTGTACATGCATCTCCTAAATAAACCGTTGATATTTCTTCTGATTTTCTTCTGAAGTCTTTATCTCTACATCGTCCTCGTTTCAAGGTAAAACTCCTATCCTTCTATTTTTTTATCGCTTAACTATTCTTGCTAAACTCTCTCTTTGTCTTCTGTCTGATTCTGGTATTTTATCTTCCCATCATTGCTTTTAACTTCATCCGTCTCACACTCGAGTTCCTTTTACTGTGATTTCCTGCTAGATTGGAAATCTTTTTCACCCCTTTTTCTACTTTCTTAACTTTTCTTTTTAATTGCAATGAATACCGCCAATTCAAAAGGCAAAGGTAAAGTAGTAGATGATGATGATATTCCTATCGCCGAGCTTGCTAAGAGGCCAAGATCGAACTCCTTGGATAGAACTACGTCATGCGACGTGATGAAATGGATTCTGGACTTACTGGGATCTCCCCATCGGTTTCCGGTGATTTTGTAGGTTACCGCGATTCATTCTCCTCGGATAATTCTGATATAAACTCCGAGATAGAGCTGGAAGGATCCGAGCTGTTGGCACAAGTGA